GCGCAGGTTCTGCTCGCGCAGTCGCTCCTCCTGGCGCCGTTTGAGACGGCGGCGCAGGAAGCTACAGAAGCAGCAGAGCAGGACAATGAGACCCCAGATGAGCCAGAAGCCGGCGAAGCACGTGAGGAACGTGTAGGTGCCCTGGGACATCACCATGGTGGCGGCGTAAGCAGTAGGTCCTCAGCAGCTTCACTGGACACTGGGCTCCTCTGCGTGGCCTCGAGCTCGCGCCACGCTCCCAGGTGCCGCCAGTGTCACTCGAGGACCCGCGGCCAGGGGCTGCCTGCGGCGGGGCTCAAGTCGTACGCGCGCCGGCGGGGGACAGCTTCCCCACCTTCCCATGGCGCCGGACAACGCGTGGAAGTGCTTCACTCAGGGACTCGAGGGACCTGCGGGGCAGACACAGGTCGCAGTAAGGCGTGCCGCGCCCCCTGACGACTTCCAGGCCTGCGCTGGCGTCCCGCGTAGTTCCAGGGAATCCGCCTTCGTGGGAACCCCCGCACTCCCCTGGGGCCCGGTGACGTCACCGAGGTGACGTCATGCCCCGAGGTTTCCCCGGTAGGGCTTTCCCGGATTCTAGACCCGGCCGCCAACGCCGCGGAGCCCAGGTGCCGACGGAACCCAAAGCGAGCCAGCAGGGGGCGCGGGGCGGCCAGGCTCAAGCGCCGAGCGCGAGCTGGAGATTCGACACCCACAACCCCAACTATAGGCCACCTCAGCTCGGAAATGGTTTGATTTCCGAGGCCTGTGGATACCCAGGCGCTGGAGTCGGTGTGGCTGCTTTGAGCAGCGTAAGGACGGTCCGCCTTCTCCAGCCCCACAAGCAGGCCACCTGGCTCCCTGCTTCAGGTCAACTGGCCCTGTCCCGGGTCCTCTCGGTCTTGGGGCCAGCAGCTCCGACTGCCCCTGCGTGCCTAGGCCCTGCCTTTGTTTGCGCCTGAGGAACCGTGCGAACGTAGGCCGGGCCCTCTTCCTTTCTTTCAGTCACCTCCACCCGCCTCCACATATGAAACTCCACTTGGTTCCTCCACTCCATCTCCAGGCCTCCATCTCCCTTCCCCCAATTCCTTTCCCTCTCCAAAGAGGAAAGTAGATGAGATTCGGAAGCTTTTCTTTGACCCGCCTGATCCTGCACTCACTCATTCACTCCAGACTGGCACCTCTTAGTTCCACCTTTCTCCACAGCCAGGCTGAGGGGTGATACTGCATCCTGAGAGGTATGTAGCAGGGAGCCCTGCCTTGGTGTAGTGAAGGGCAGCAGTTGTCACTCACCACCATCACCACAGAACAGAAAGGAGACCTTCTTGGGTGCTTTATACCAGGCACTTTAACTTACAACCTTTGGGGCATACAGACAGGAATAGGGGAGCAAGGAGTTGTGTAGATGGCAGGTGGCAGACCCTAATTTGAACTCAAGCTTAGCCACAAAATCCTATCCTGAGTGGGACGGGGGACGTTGCTGCTTGAGCTATTTTTTGGGCCTCGTTCAAAAACTCCAGGGAACTCCTGCCCTCAGCATGGGAAGGCAGGCAAACACTCAGCTTGGAGGCTCACAGTCAGCCTGAGCCCCAAGCTAGGATGCCAGGCCATGCCACCTTCTCCCCAGATGGCTGCTGCCTGACTCCGTGGCTGCCTTCAGCCATGCGCCACTTGGTGCTCGTGCCAGTCCTTTTCTCCAGGCCTGCGTTCCAGAACAGACAATGGCAGGAACAATAGCTCTGCCCGCCCCCTCCACAACCCTGCCATGAGGCTGCCATGGTGACGAAGCCCAGATAAAAACACGATGCTGCCAGTCACTGAGAGTTAATTAAATCTGTTGTTCTCCTTTTGCTGAGCCCTTAGGAACAGGAATGTTCAGAGAAAACTAGCACTAACTAGAGGTCCCCCTGCTTAGTAGGCCAGGAGCAGTTATGTGTCAGAAAGGCACTTATAGGGCTAGGGGGTAAATGGGTTTAGCTGAAGTAGAAAGGTGTCAAGAGCCAGACCTGTGGCACATGCCTGTAGTCCCAGTTACTTGGCGGGGGGGGGGTCTGAGGGAGGAGGATCACTTCAGCCCAAGAGTTTGGGGCCAAAAAAGACAACAGTGAAACCCCTGTCTCAAAATAAGGGTTCTGGTGGGTTTTTTTGGTTTTGTTTTATATTTTTGGGTCCTGGGAATCGAACTTAGGTCCTTGTGCTTGTGAGGCAGGTGGTGGAAGCACTGAGCTAAATCCCTGGCCCATTGTTTTGTTTTAATACTGCCAAGGACCATCAGTACTTGTTCCTCTTTCCATGCTATTTTTTTTTTTTTTTTTTTTTTTTTTTAGACAGGGTCTCACTGTGTAGTTCATACTGCCCTAGAATTCACTGTGTAGCACAGGCTGGCTTCAAACTCTCAGAATCCTCCTGCCTCAGCCTCCCAAGTGCCAGGATGATAGGCATGTGCCATCATGCCCAGCTCATCCATTATCTTGTATGGTCACCAAGACCAACTAGTCACTGTTGGTCATGCCAACTGGACAGATGAGAAAGAAGGAAATTATTTGCCCAAGGTCATACATCTAATAAGGGAAAAAGCTAAGATGTAGTTGGCATCTGAATTCAAACTTTCCCTGTGACAAATGAGATGTAAATGAAAAGCCCAGCAGTTGTGAACACACAGTACATAAGGACTTGTCAGCTGTGGGGGAACTGGGCAGTGTGGCCAGTTAGTAGCCAAAATGTGCATTCCTATTCTTCCCATAAGGCCTTGGAGTGCCTGACCACAAGCTCACTGCTGCCCTGGACTAGCTCAGGGTGGCAAAGGGCTGCGCAGAATGAAGGGCAGCTCCAGGCTTAACACAGAAACAAAGATAAGGTTTGTGCCCTGAGGGTACACAGTTTAGGCTGGCATTAGGCCAGACTGGTACAGGCCACACCCCTAATCTCAGTGCCATGTGACACCCCTCAACTAGGAGGTAAGAATCATTGCCACATTTTATAGACTGGCCACAGAGGGACAATCTCTTGCATGAGGTTTCAAGGCTGAGCTGGCCCTCTGACCATGTCTGGCTCCAAAGCCAAATGTGAGGCGTGGGGATTTGATGCTAAAACTGCCTCCTCCTATGTGGCTGCCACAGGTCCACAGGGCTACAATCTAGCCTGTAGCCTCCTTCCTAGTTACTCAGTATATAACAATTTAGTACACAATAGGCGCTTAATATATAAACACTGAAAGACTCAGATCTTTCAAAATGCTTTACTGACCAACTGAACTTGAAGCCTACTAAGAATATGCCCCTTTGCTGCTCCACACCTGGTGTGTATGTTCTTGCCCTCACCTGGGAACCCCTCAGACTCACATCCTCTTGCTTAAAACCACTGGACTTGCCTCACCCTCCACACTGTAAGTAGCAAACACCTGCCATATGTCCAACTCTATGTGTTAGCAGCCATGACCTTCAGACATATCCTTAAGCCTGCCATCTTACTATTTATTTTCTGTTTTCTCTTTCTTGCAGGTCATGTGAACATTCCTCAGGATTCCATCTTGAGTTATGTGTAATGTTTTTGAGCATATGTCTGTGTATAGTTTTTGCCCACACTCACTGGGAACACAGGAATGAAAGCAAGACCCTGGGTGTTTTCTACCTCCATGCTGCCTCAGTTTCCTCCTTCAGTAACCACTGTGAAGATTGAGCTAATCCATTGCAGAGTGCATGGCACTGAGCAACAGACATTAGCTCTGATGATGGCAGCTTCTGAGCTGGGGATACAGAGATGTATTTGTCCTTATGGTGCTCCCTGACTGAGGGCTGGACACCACGGAGAGTTTTGTCCTCCTAGGAAGCAGTCTTTCCACTTGACTGACGAGAATACTTGGCTCAGAGATTAAATGACATCCAAGGGCCACAGATCTTGTATTCTAGGGCCTAGCTGCATTACTGAGAGCACTTACTACATTGCTTCTCTCCATGAAGAACCACTGTCATTCTCAACCAGAGATTTGCCACTATGTTCTCTATCTCAGCAACGGGCTCATCATTTACCTAGCCACAAAATTCTCAGTGCAGTGTCTTCATCTGACTATGTCCTTTGGTCCTCTTGCCACTGGCCTGGTTACCACCTCTCAACTAGAGCCTTATTACTATGCTTGCCATGTGCTGGACCCCTGTGCAGCCTACCCACTCTCCATGCTGCCCATTTCTTGTAGGCCTGTTCCTGTCTGAACCCTCTGGTTCCTCCTTATTGCCTCAGAAGACAGTCCTACCCTTAACATGGTTCAGACTAATGCCTCTCAAACTTGCGTGAGCATGCAAACTATATCAATGGCTTGTCAAAACACAGCAGGCCCCACTTTGACCTCCATAGTGTTTCCTTCAGCAGGTCTAGGGTGGGGCCTTAAGAGTTTGCACATCTAACAAATTCCCAGCAGATGTTAGACCAGGGAACACTCTGTGACCTAGATTGTGCCTTCTGGGAGGAGCTCCTGCCAAGGCCAATTGGCCTCTTGCATATTTTCCCAGAGAAGTTATTCCTAAGCCACCTTCCCTGCCCAGGGCTGGATGAGAATGAAGCCCAGTGATCATAGACTGTTTGGAAGTGGCCTGTGTCTATCAGAGGCTGCCTCTGCCTCTATCAACTGGCACATGGTAGTTCAAAAGCCATTTGTTTGGCCCTAGCTGTAGGATAAGGAACACCTCAGGAGCTGGGTCACCATCCAAATCATTTCTGAGAACTGTCTGCCATTTACTGAGAAAGAAGCCATGACCCAGGATTCAGCCCTCACAGCATGGGTTATAAGCAAACTGAGAACCGTGTGTCTGTGGACAAGAGGAAAAAGGTGACCTGGAAGCACACACCCAGGGCTGTGGAGAAAGAAAACCTTAGATATAGGGTGACAAGGCAGAACCTTGACCACGAGGCTTGCAGCTGCTGGTACTCGGGTATGGGGACAGAGAGACAGGAAGGAGACTGTGGTGTGAAGATGTGGTGGAGGAGGTAGGTAACTGTCCCCATCCTGTGTTCCTTTTACATGCCACTAGCATCTTTCCAGTCATGATCTAAGTAACATTCAGGAGGTAGCTATTGTCATTCTCAATATAGATACAAGGATATAGCCTCAACAAGGAGCTGGGTCCTATTCAGGATCATGGGAGTCACATGGCTATGACACCCTGATGAGTGCAAAGTCCACTGATAGGAAGGGCATTTCAGGGAGGCACTGGTGACATTTACACTCCTTCAGACCAGAGAGAACTAAAATTATCCCAGCTCCCAAAGTCAGCCAGGCAATGGAGCTGGCCATAACCTCATTTCCAGCAAGGCTAAGGTAGTGGCTTGGCACCCTGTTCTATGGGTAAAATCTACAACCCAACCCTGACATTGGGAAACTACAAACAACAGAGTGAGCAGAAAGACCTTGTGTATGCTAGTGTCTTCTGTACTGGGCTCTGACTCTCCCTCTCTCTCCCTCCCTCTCTTTGTGTGTGTGAGGGGGACAGGATATTCAAAGACCAGATTCTTTGAGTAAACCCTCATTCTGGTGGCTGCCTGTGCTTCCATCACCTCATCCAGAGTGGAAATTAATTATCTGTTGTTGCAAGGGAGTGTGGTTATCTTTGGGGGGGGTCCTCTTGTTGAGGGCAGTATAATGTAATGTGTAGAGCACTGAGGTGCAGCCCTGAGTTTAAATTGTTTCTGCCCTAATTGAGCCATGTGATCACACTCTGGCTACTCCCATACTTGAACTGAAGTTTATTCACTTGTAGGACAAAGGATGACAAGACCTGCCTAGTAATGCCAAGGAGGGAGCACAACTGATGAGAGGTATGATAACATTTCAAGGCCAACATATACAGCTGAGTGTGACTGACAAAACACCAGCACCTTGCATCCTGCAGAAGCTCAATTGTGAAACCAGCCCGTGGCAGTACATTGTATGCAGCCTGGGGTTGGTCTAGCAAAACCTACCCTCAATTTAACATGGACCAAAGGTCTCAGACTCGTGACCCTCAGTTTGAACACAGTTCATGGATACATTTTGTTGGCCTACAATCTGTTTTTTTAAACAATATTCTGCTTGGTTACCATCATTTAAAAACCAGATTTTGCATAAAGGTCTGGATCTTGCTCATTTGAAAACTGGACAATCTGGTCATACCAAGTCTACATCACCCAAGGTGACATCAACTGGAATTAAGCAGTCTCTGGCCCACCTCACTCATTCCATTGCCCCTGGCCTATGGAAGCACTCAGGTTTCCAACCTCTGGGCTACTCTGAGTACCCACAGGGTCCAGCACTGCCTGGCCCACCTTTGCTATTCTCCCACAGCCAGGAATGAAAGGTGAAAAGGCCACAGAGCCAATGAACCAAAGACTAAAGACTTAGGAATTTCCCAGGGGGTTAAGGCAGTCCTCACTGCTTGATCTCAGCCAGAGAAAGAAAATGGAGGGAGCCAGGAAGCCAGCCTGCAGCAGCACAATCCTATAAAGCATCTGAGACAGCGAGGATCTGGCTGATTTTGCTGGAGGAGGGAAAAGTGTACTAACGCTTGAAAGACAGGGAACTTCCTCACTGGAGGAATGTGAAGGAAGAATGCTCCTTTGGAAGGCTCTAGGATTTTCTACCTTGATCACATAAGCTGTGTATAGCAAATGAGATGGGCTTTGCCATCAAGGAAGCAGGCAATGGAAACCTAGCTTCTACCTCTTACTGGTTGCATGACTTCAGACAAGTCACTTTGCCTCCCTGGGCCTCAATCTCCATCTCTAAGAAGAGGATAATAAACTTACCTTGCACAATTGCTGTAAGAATTAGGAGATAATAGGTGCACAGGGCTCAACTCAGGTGTCACAAAACATGAAAAGAATGAAAGCCTATGAAAAATCCCCAAAGCCCACCTGCCTGCAGGAGACTGAGGCCTGATTTCCCAGGCATTATCTATCTGTGAACATCTTATGCTAAGGTCTCACATGCCCCAGATACCTGGCACCTCTAGTGACCACGATACCTTCCTGGATAGGAAAGGAAACTCAAAGGTGGTTGTGATCTCAGGGATGCTGGATTCAAAGCCTGTGGTCAGGGCTGGCATCTGCTGAGTCAGGCCATGGAGTGCTGGCACAAGGGGCATTTCTCTCTCCAGCACACTGCCTGCTGAGGGGAGGTTGGGAGGGGAGCCAGAGGTCATTTCCTCTGACTCAGCGGCCATTCTCCTCCCAGAGGAGCTCCCCTGGAAGATGGCACCTCCATGTGGCTTCTGCCAGCCAACCTGCATGCCACCCTGCAAAGTCAAGGCATTGTGCTGAGACAAGGGGCACTTGTGGACCAGACAATGGGCTGGGTCTCCCATTTGGCCAGGGCTTCGGCTTCTTTGGGTCAGCAATGTCCTTTCCACTGTTCCTGCCCACTCACTTCCACCCCGCCCTGGAGAATGGTGGTTAGGAACCCAGAACAGCGACCCATCTCCTGCCCATGGGGCAGTTTGGCAATGCTCTGGCCCTGAAGCGGTGAAAGGAGTCAAGTTTTTTCCCCTCTCCCTGGTGGGAATATGGCCTCTGGGAAACGCAACTCAGCCATGTAGGAAAGGGATGGGAGAAAGCCCTGGGGAGTAATAGTGGTAGTGGGGATATGGGATAGAGACACCAGATCCAGCCTCCGTGCCGCTTCCTCTCGCTGCAATCCTAGGGTCTGGGCCGCCTCCACGTTTGCAGCCACCCTAGAAGCCCTGCTGCAACGATTGCAGCCACGTGGGAGCCAGCTCGTGCCCACGGAGCCGCTCATCCCCAACCCCCACCTTCGACGGGCTGTGGAGGCAGGCACACCCAGACGGCCACAGGGACATTAGCCCCATTCCCCTACCCCTCTCCCCGTGCCCCCCAGCTCTGGCCCCGCGTGGGGTGGGGGAGGGGGCGTCGCCGGGGAGCGCAACCCCGTTGCTGTGGCAACCGTTTCCAAGCGAACTGGCGGCTGCTCGCGCCCAGCTCAGGCTCCCTCGCTCACTGGCGCCCTCCTTCCTTCACCCTCCCTACAGTGTGGGCTGGGGGAGGGTCTACCCGAGTCCGAGGCGGGGGTCCAAGGCGGCGACCCCCCCACACTCCGCCCGCTAGGGCACAGAGCTGCCCGTGGGGAGGGGCTCAGCCCTGGGACCATCTTCCACCCGCATTCCAGCTTGCCCAACCCGCAGCCGCCGCGGTACTCACGGGCCCAGGCATCCTCCTCGAGCTCGTCCTCCTGCCTTGGGACGAGCGGCCCAGCGGACAGAGTCCTCGGCCTGTGGGAGGCGGCGGTAGCTGCGGCTGCCCCAGGGAGCAGACGGCGGCAGCGAAAGCGGCTCCGAGCGCGGGGCTGAAGGCACGGGACGCGCGTTTCTGTTATTATGACAAAATACCACTTTAAAAGAAGAAATGTTTAGTTTAAACCCCTGGAGGGAAAGGGGTGCGTGGGACTAAGCATCCACCTGCCGCGCCCAGAACTGGTACACAAGGGCGCCAAGTTTACACCCTCAGGGCATCCTGCACAGGGAATACATATGCCACACGCATCCTGGCGACAGGCTGCTCGGCCGGGGGCACACCAGCAGACCCAAGCACATGTCACACACACTGGATATTCAGCCAAGCAGCTGCTGAGGTGAAGAACCCGATACACACACAGCTCAGCCTGGAAAGCTGTCTACACCTCGAGGACCCGGCCACATTCCGACAGTCTTTTGCACACACGCAGTGGGCAGGGGTTTGAGCCTGCAGCCACTCCATTGTGGTTCCCTCCCAATTCATGCCCGCACCCTTTGTCTCCCCATCAGGCATACATCACCTGGTGCCTAAACAGAACCAGGAGGAGACCTAGTGCTTTGACCCCAAGAACATGCCCCAGGGAACAGAGATGACCCCTACAGAGGGACCCACCCTGAGGTCTTCTTAAAGAGGCCACTCTGAACCTAGCTGTCCTGGTCTTTTAACTGAGTTGTTTCTACACCAACCTCTCTATGGCTCTTAGGATGATCTTTCAAAAAACACCCTCTTAACATACTATCAGCTGGAGCATTTTGGATTGCAAAGCATGGAACCCTAAAATAAATAGGCTTGAGCCCACAGGGCACAATTAACTGGCAAGTTTGGAGATTGTCACAATTGGTTCTAGGTGTTTCAGCAACATCAAGTATGTATCTGCTTCTCTCTTTTCTTTCTGTGTCTGCATCATTTTGACAAGAGGTGGCAAAGACAAGCTCCACAGCTCTAGGCCACCTATTATTTCCAGAGGAAAAAGAACTGTTACCCAATAGTTTGCAAAAACTAGCAAACCAATAAACACGTAACTTTTTTTGTTTTGGACTCATTTGGCTGATCAGTGAACCAATCCAGGTGGCCACACCTTTGGGGAGGGGATATGTTCTGAATAGCCACCCAGTATCCATTCTATTTTCTTAAGGTACATTACAGCAGATTTAATTGGGAGAATCATTGTCCCACATGGGTGCTATCATGCTGGGCCTTTGAAACCAAATACTCTGCTCTCCCAATAGGTGCTGGACACGTTTCTAGCCTGACCACTGGGACTCCTTGGAGTCAACTCGATGTTGCCAAGACAGGAATGCAATTCTGCTTTTGCTGATCACACTCTGGAGATGCAGTTAGCAACTAACACCACGAGACCTCACCCCCGCCACCGCCAGTACTGGTGAGTAAACCTAGGGCCTCCACATAGCTACATTCTTTGCTCTGTCTCCTATGTAGTTGGGATTACAGGCATGAGCTGCCACACTCAACCCTCTGGCCCTTCCTATCTGAGCTTATGTCCTTTAACACTGTTGGCTAGAAGGCTGTTCCATCTCTTGCAACATTTCCATCTGGGTCATATATGTGGTATACTGTATGCAGGGGTGCAAACCCAGCGCCATCTAAACCATATGTAGAGTAGGGAGGTGTGTATTTTTGTAGATCCTGGGATAGACATCCTGATAAAACCCTTTAGGGACTCCCCAACTGTCCAGATGAGGCCCTGTACCCTTAACATGGCTTTCAAAGCTGGTTTCAGCTCACTGACCTGAGCTGTGGCCACTCCTTTTTTCCATCCCACCTCTACCCCATGCTCAGTCATCCTAAGACACAAGAAGCTCTACATCATCTATTTGGCCTGTGTCCTACACAGCACCAACTAAGACACCTTCATGGCCAAGGGGCCTCCTGTTTGCTGCAGCCCCCAACCCCCACTACTCTAGAACCTTCTCTGCCAGTGCTGATCACATTGGGTGCCACTGTTCCCACGTCTGCCTGCCTACCAGACTGAGCTCCAAGCTGGCAGGGGCCTGGTCTCCATCTGTGTGCCCAGCTCCCACCATAGTGCTGGGGAGGGAGGAGGTGAGTTTAGTAAAAGCTTGTTGGGAAATTAATTCTGGGAGCTTCCTCTGCCAAAGATTTAAGATTTAACCCTATTGAAGTTCCTTGGATGCCTTCCTCACACAAGGGGGCACATGAGAGAAGGGTATGGGTGCCTCAGGGCCCTGCATGTTCACCTGGCACACCTGCCCAGGGACAGCTTTGGCCTCTGCAACTTAATACCTATGTGACACTCACCCCAACCCCAGAATTTGGAGCACAGACAAATGCACTTCAAACTTCAACCTCATGGGTAGGATCAACTAGCTTTTTTCACCCTGCGGTGACCACTCAACCCACTGGAAGGCCTTGAGCAACCCCACCCCATCACCACATACAAAGAGGGAGAAAGCACTCCACACATTAGCACCAACTACAAAGTTGGTGCTAGGTACCTGCAGGCTGCTCTTAAGACTGTTGCCCAACTTGGTACTTAGCAACCACTCCCCTAGCAGTTGAGAGTCCTGTCAGTAACCTAGGGGTTCCAGAGGGCTCACTGACTGCTTCAGTGGACTTTCAGAGCTGCCCTGCAAGGCAATGAATATCACACTTGTCTTCCTAGACGAGAAAGGTTTAAAAAGCTGCCAGACGGGGACATGAACCTGTAACTGGCAACTACAGAACTCATGTGGTTTCTGCAGCCCTATGTGCCTGGCCCAGAGGCAAACAACCTTTATGGTAGTAACAAGACATTCTTGGGAGGAGCTGGGGACACTGGAAAGCTATTTAGCAGTGACAGGTTTGTAAAGTCTGGGGAAAATTTGTGATCAAACATCTCTTAACCCCAAATGCCTAAGTGGTTCTCCTGTCTTCCAGAGGATTCTCCTTCAAGGCCCAGCTAGCTACCTTTGGAAAACCTGCCTTGATGTGCAAGTGGCCAGTTTCTTCCCAACCTTGCCACAGCCTTTTCCCCAGTATCATCATTCTCTAGGTCTTTTGCTCATCTACATTTAATGTATCAAGGACAAAAGAGAGGGATGCACATGCACCAGCCCATAGCAGGCAGCCAAGTAAAGAAAGATCTGTAGCAGGTGTTTAGAACAGCAGCTCCCACTTGGCTCCCCAGGCCACTCCCAAGTTCACATTTGGCAGCCAGATCATTTTGGCCTTAGATAGCTTAAAGCCTGGCCAACTAGGCCTGCCTCTCCAGCACAGTCAGAAACAGACCCACACTACAGTACCCAAGGCTCTCTTTCTCATGCCATGTATTTAGGAAACAATGGAACCCACTGGGTGAACTCAAAGGCCACCAAGGTCTGGCTGCCTAGAAATACTGCCTCCCAGTAAGTCCTAAAGACTCCTGACCCTTGGAAAGGCAGCCCCTTATCCTCCTCTGCCAGGTCCACCTCTAATCCATTCCTGCTTCCAGCTGGGCCAGGGAAGCAGGAAGACCCCCTGGAACACCAGAAGCAAGAAAGAGGCAGGTGGGGCAGCTGGCCAGGTTTGTGCTTGGACTGTATTCACACAGACATGTGGCAGCTTACATTGGACAAAATGAGTAATAAAAATTAGCTTTAAATATGGAAAAACCAGGGTCCTGTAATCCCATTCTACCCTAACACGGGAACCAGGATGGCTAGCACAGTCTGGGAAGGACCAGGGCTGGGGTTAGGTTATAGGCACAGCCTTACCCTACCCTCTTCACACAGATACACACCCACACCCACACATTCCCCATGGGCACACACAGGGAGGGACAGATTATTGCTGGGCACATGTGAATATTTTTTATGAGGGAATTGTGGAATGTTGGTCAGGAGTTGGCCAAGGACATCCCTACCTCTCCTGGGCTTGAGCATTTTTGAAAAAGGTGTCTTCAGGGCCCAGCATAAGAGACAAGGTGAGCTGGGAGCTAGAAGGCAGAGGGAGACCAAGGTGGATCAGCTTGGGCAGTGAACTAATGGGTCTCATGGTTAGTCCAATCTCTGTTCACACCTTGGCACGGGCCTCTGACAATTGCTATAAAGGGATACTACTGGGCCCTAGTCAGTGCAGCCTGAGCCCAGGAAAACAGGGACAGGCATGAGTCTTACTCAGAGGTTGGTGGTGGCCAGCACAATGCTGGGGGTTCGGGGATCTGGCTTTGCCCCTCCTGAGTGGGGTGTGAGAAGCCTTAATTTTGGCATTGGCTTTTTTTTTTTTGGTACCGGGGATTGTATTTGGGCCCTTGCGCTTGCAAGGCAGGCACTAGAACCACTGTGCTAAATCCCTGGCCCTCTCTGCTATCTCTTAACTCTCCCAGCCAGAGCTGGCTGCCTTGGAGGCTGAAGCAGGGCACCAGGTCTAGGGTAGGAATTAAGAACACTCTGGTTGCTATATACATTCGTACAAATACATAAATACAGAAATCCCAGAGCTCCACAGAAGAGCTAAAGGGATGCACCTTTGTCCCAGGGATGGCCCAGACTTTGTCAAACTCAGCCAAGCCAAGGGCTGAGGGCCAGAGGATACTGGGGACAACTCTGGCTGTGTTCCCTAGGCCATGACTTGAGTGGACAATGGGGAAGACCACTGTGCAAAACTGTAAATAGCACTTGGAGTAGCTGCTACCGCCAACCGCTGGTGGGGGCCTCAGGCTGGGGACTAGAGGCGGGTGGGGAGCTCTTCCTCACTGTCGCTGCAGTTCCCACAGCAATCCTGGAGGGACAGGGAAGACATGGAGGGAAAGAGGCAGAGCGAGTGCTGTTAAACACCAGTGACATTGCATGGGACTGCCCGGACAGGACAGATGCCACCCAGGTTCATGCTCTGGGAAAAGAGCTCCCCATGAGGGACCTGGAGAAGCAACTCAGGCCACCCATGAGTGGGCATCAGAGCAAAGGCTTCTGGCAACTGATTTAAGTTAAGGGGGACTAGGGAGATCCCAGAATCTGCTAGGGCAAGGCCTCTGTCGAGGCCCTGGATAGGCGCTGGGTACAGGGAGACAAACAGCTAAGCAAGGCTGACAGCTTGAAGGGGCCAGGGTGCAGGGAACTGCAGCAGTGGGGAGGGGTATGGGGGGGCGGGCACCAGACTTCTTTCTCCCACATCTTGCCTCTGCCATTGAAGGGCTGCCTGGGGCTCCCCAAGGCTGGGCAGCGAGGCTAACCCATGGGGAGCCCACACTGCTCACCTCTGGAAAGAGAAAAGAGGCCATGAGCCCAGCCAGGGGAGGGGAATGTGGCCAGAGACCCTAGGTATTGCTGGCAGGGCTGGAGCGTGTCCACTCCCAGCACAGGCAGGCACCAGCTGTGCCTTCCACCCACCATCCCCTGGAGCCAGGCTGGGAGCCCAGGTAGGGTACTGCCAGAGCTTACCTGGCGGCTGAAGAATCTCTGCAGTAGCCCCTTCTTGGGTGGTGCAGGCGGCTGGCCTTTCCAGTCCAGGTCTGGGGGAACTGAGCCATCCAGCCCAAAGACATTCAGCTCCTGGAAGCACTCAGTCTCCACCATCTACCAAGGAACAGGTACCTGTGAGAGCTGCTCCAAGGATGTCCCCTGGAATCCATCTCACCAGCGTGGCAGGTCCTACCTCATTCTGCCAGGGGATGGGCACGCTGCCTGTGGCAAACTTCTGGTAGAAGTCCTGGTCGGTTGGCTCTAGTTCTACACCCTTAACGGTGGAAAACTGTTCAATGTCCAGAACATCCTTGCAATAAATAGCCTGGGGCTAGAGGGGACAAATGCAGTCATCAGATAGGAAAGCACAAATGTGGGTGCACAAGCGTGTGTACACACAGACAGGAAGGTAGCTCAGCCCAGTATCACTCTGGCTCTTGGCCTGGTGCTGCCTTGACACCTGTGGAATCTGATCTGGAGTCAGCAGCCAAGCGTCTCATGTACTTCCCAAGCACAACAGTCTCTCCTGTCTGAGGCTAACTTTTCTCTCCAGATCCTCTTCCACATACTGGGATCATACCTCACTGTTCAATGACTAAATGATGCTGCAGAGACCTGAGCTGTCCCCTGCCCCTTGCACTGCACAAGGCTGCCCAGGTGTGTGGGTGGTGAAGAAAGTGCAGGCTGAAACTCTGCTGGTTCCCCATGCAGGACCTACAGCAAATGGGTCCCCACTCTAGGATGTCCACTGGCCTCCTCTGTCCCCTCATAACCAATCGAGAGGACAGGAATAGTCCTCCACTACCTCCCCGGCCCCCTGTTGGAAGGTCACCTGAGCCTCAGAAGGGAGACATTCACCTTTTCCACCTTTGCATTGTTTTCTAAATCCTATTAAGGTTGTCACTTAAAATATAATGGGGAGGGGCAGGGGATTTAGCTCAGTGGTTCTGCTGCCTGCCTTGCAAGCACAAGGACCCCAGTTTGATCCCTGGTATAAAAACAAACAAACAAAAACATATATATGGGAGGGCTGGGGATTTAGTTCAGTGGCACCTTGAGTGAGTTGCAAGCATAAGGTCCTGTGTTCAATCCCTGGTACCAAAAAAAAAAAAAAAAACCCCAAAAAACAAAAAAAAAAAAAAAAAAGGGCCAGGGATTTAGCC